GACCTCCACACCTTCCTATCGAGGGTCATGTCCTCGGTAAGTTGAAGTAGTGCCATGTCATGCCTAATCAACTTTATCTAGTGCTTCTTATGCCTCCCTCTACCCCTCATCTATCCTCCCATGGTCAACCTTTCACACCTCCTAACTGGGGCATCGGAATCTTTTCTCTTTACATGTTCGAACTATCTCATCATATTCTCGCAACTTATCTTTTACGGGAGTTACACCCACCTTGTCCCTAATAACTTCATTCCTAATCTTACCTTTCCTGGTATGCTCACACATACATCTCAACATCATCATTTTTGCCACTTTCATCTTATGAACATGAGACTTTTTGACTGGCCAATACTCGGCTCCATACAATATAGTTGGTCTAACTACTACCCTGTAGAGCTTACCCTTGAGTCTTGGTGGTACATTCCTATCACACAAAATACGAGACACGAGTCTTCATTTCATCCACCCCGCTCCAATACGATGAGTAACATCTTCGTCAATATCCCTATTACCTTGCTTTACAAACCCAAGGTATTTAAAACTATCTCTCTTGGGGATGACTTGTGTATCAAGCTTTACATCCATTTCTGCTTCATGCATCCCAACACTGAACTTGCACGCTAAGTATTCTGTTTTAGTCCTACTCAAATTGAAACCTTTATACTCCAGAGTCTGTCTCCACACCTCCAACCAAGTGTTAACCCTGCATCGCACTACGTTAATCAGCACTATGTCATCTGCAAATAACATATACCATGGTACCTTCCCTTGGATGTGTCGCGCCAGCACATCCATCGCCAAAACAAATAAAAATGGGCTGAGAGCTGATCACTGATACAACCCCATTACCCCTGAAAAATAATCCGAGTCTTCTCCCACATTCCTCATCCTACTCTTAGCTCTGTTGTACATATCCTTGATCACCATAATGTAATCTATCGGAACTCTGCTAAGCTTTAAACATCTCCATAGAACCTCCCTTGGGACTTTGTCGTAGGAATTTTTTAGGTCAATGAATACTATATGCAGGTCCTTCTTCCATTCACTATATTGTTCTATCAATCTCCTCACAAGATGAATAGCTTTAGTAGTCGACCGCCCCGACATGGATCCGAACTGATTCTCTGAGATAAACACACCCCTCCTCACCCTCCTCTCTACCACTCTCTCTCACACTTTCATAGTGTGATTCAGCAGCTTAATACCCCTATAGTTATTGCAATTATGGACATCACCCTTGTTCTTATACAACAGAACCATCAAACTCCACCTCCATTCCTCAGGCATCTTCCTCGACTTAAAAATGATATTAAACAGTCCAGTAAGCCACTCAAAATCTTCCCGATCCGCATCCTTCCAGAATTCCACCGGAATCTCATACTTCTAGCATATCATCAACACCTCACACTTAAAGCATTACTCTTCCTCGAGTAATACAAACTACAACTCGCCTAACTCATTATGCCAAGAATATTTAAAATAGACAAAGTAGCTTACCTTAACCTTCTAGCCTCAAGACTCAACTCAAAAGCATCAGTTTTTTACTCTAACAAAGAAGCCAAAGAACATAAAATCCCTTGTAAGTCGTGTGCCCCTCGCAACAAGTAATAGAGAATAGTTCCACACACATACAATTCAAAAATAATTAAGGACTCTGGATAAAAAGAATTAACTCACTCTCAGAATCAAAATTCATGTGCCACACACGATGTACTTTTGCTTGGTGTAATACTCTAATACTCTACTAATTCAAGCTCACCCAGTCTAAGGTCAAGTATCGCTTAAATTGGTTGTAATATAGGCTGCGGGATGTATATAATACAATATGAATAATAGTGACTATCCCTCCTTAAGTACTTAATACATACAACTCCATAAATTACACACCTCTTTCTATGAACAATAACTTTTCCGACCTTCAAAACAAATTAACACCAGAATTTTCTTTTTCATTAAGCACAACATAGCAAGATTTACTATTAACAAGGAATATTTCTTTACGCACACTTTTTTCTTTTTGATTTTTTGTTTTTTTCTATTGCCTTTTTTTGGTCTTCTTTTTACAATTCCCTACCATGGCTCTTATATTTGTTTTATAATACTGCATATTTTGTCCTATTTTATGGGTTCCACTCTAAAATTTAACCAAACCTTCCTTAACTTTTTAAAAGCTCATTACAAAATCAAGTGCTCGCTAGAGGTGAAAGTGTTCAAAAAGATGGCCAATTCATACCAAAGGAATTAGGCTTGTAATATGATTACCAAAGAAATATGATTATAAGCTCAAACGAACTAACTAGAATACGCAATATTAGGTGGGAAAAAAGACATATTATGGCTAGCAAGAAAATGCCTCTATCACTTGCTAGACAGAACAAGACTTACTATTTCGCCTTACACATATTCGCGGCAAGTTCTAGACATGAGGAGATATGCACAAAACAGCATCAAGAACATCACTTACATATTAGCACACAACTCACTCAGGATCAAATCTATTCTGACTCTCTAATCAAAACAGTTAAGAAAAGTTAAGTATTTATAGCACTTATACTAGAGTTTAAGATGTGAGCCTAGGCGTCACCAACAAGGCACTCACTACTCTCTAGGCAAAATAAAGTTAAAAAGAGTTCCTCCAATTTACTACTAGCATAAGATTCTCTACTCCTAAGAAAATTTTAAAATTACCTATACTCAGTTCGAGAAAAAAATCTTGAAAAAGAATCGCGACACAAAACATTACCAAAGGAATATTATTATACTACCTAAAAATTTAAAAATTAAAAGAATAAAAGATATATTTTTGAATTTTTAAATTTTTTATTTTTTGTATTTAAATAAAAGGGTGAGTAAAGACAATAAATAAAAACATATACATACATTCCCTCCTCTTCTCCACTTTAAATTGTGGCATGTTCTCATGACACACAAATAAAAGGAAAGAGGTAAAGGAAATTTTGCTGAATTCTTTCTTCAGCGATGGCCATAGTGCAATTCATCTTGCCAAGAATCCAGTATTTCATGCAAGATCAAAGTACATCCAGCTCAGATATCATCATATCTGAGAGTTAATAAATGATAGAACTCTTTCCCTGCAGAAGATAGCAGGATCGAAGAACCCATCAGACATGTTGACCAAAGTTGTCGGTGTTGACAAACTGACGTTGTGCACTGCCTCAGTTAGCCTTCAAGATTGATAATGTGAATGCGCCACACCAGAGAATAATAACTATTTTTCTTCTTTATTGATGTAACATGAGTTTTGAGGGGAGATTGATGGGATCAAACTCCGTTGTTTGTAAGAGAAAGAAAAGAGAGAAGACAAAACAAAAGTGAAAAGTCAAAGAAAGAAATACATGAAAAGAAAAGAAAAAGATATGTGGAAAAGAAAAAGAAAGAAAGGAAGTTAGAATGAAAAGACCCCAAAATGTTAAAGAATTAAATTGGTTTACAATCGTGATGCCGTCCCGCCGCATGTTCACGCTGAATATTTCAGTTGATTTCTCTGCCTATAAATAGACATCCCCTTCTCAGTTGTAATCTATCCTCACAACTTCTTCTTCTCTCTAATTAATAAATAGTTATTCTTTGTGTGGCTGTGGAGTAGGCAAAAATTATCGAACCATGTAAATCTTATCTTGTCTTGTGCAATTTATTATTTTTTTTTAAAAATTATTTTATCCCTTCTATTAGTTTGACACGCTTCCCAACAAAAGTTCTTCTTCTTATGAATCGCCCTCATCATCAAATGTGATCCAACTCCCTCAGATGTTGGATTGTACAACGAGGTTCTAAACAGACAACGGAAGCAAATTCAGAATCCTACCAAAATAACTCCATATAGGCCTAACAATAATTGAGTCGACAATCAACGAAGTACACAAGTAGATAAAGTTAATTGCAGCTAAAGAAACTAGGGAAAAGGGCTAAATATATCCCTCTATTTTCATATATTATTTGTATTTAACCTCCGTTATACTATCATGCCAAATTTATCCCTACCATTATACTATCGGGCCAAATTTGCCCCTACCATTATACTATCGGGCCAAATTTACCCTACAATCAGCAAATTTTTAAAAATACCCCTTGATCTGTTAAGTAATCCAAAATCTCCCAAATTCCTTTAATTTAAATCACTTGTTGTTGTTCTTGGTCCACTATTTTAATTTCAAAAATTACCATTGATGTTCTTCTTGGTCCAATGCACCCATTTCTCTTTTTGTAATAAATAAAATTTGTTTAAAATTTTATTTATTTTTCAATCATATACACACCGTAGAATTTAGTGGGTCTATATATTTATTGTGTATTATACGCAATTGATCATCATGTATGTACATGTATATTCAAATATATTTTGTCATTGCTTGGTTAGTATAGAGTTCGATCGACTAACTTAAGAGTGCAAAATGTGTAGGCATTTAATTAAAGTAAAGTTGAATTAGACAATGTAAAGTCTCCGAGAAACTTCAACTTCAATCACTAATACTTGCAAAATCTCCATACATTTGGTGCAATGAATTCATTAAAATTGGGATATTATAAATACTTTTAGAATTTAGAAAAGCTACCCAATTTAGATTTTTAAATTTAATACACTTTGTTTATTCGGTCGTATTATTTAATAATATTTTCTCATTTTTTTTCTTCTCTAATTTAGAAAGCAGGTAAATGCCAATTATTTCAAAAATAGTGGACCAAGAAGAACAACAAGTGATTTAAATAAAAGGAATTTGGGAGGTTTTGGATTACTTAACTGATCAAGGGATATTTTTAAAAGTTTGCTGATTGTAGGGGTAAATTTGGTCCGATAGTATAACGATAGGGGTAAATTTGGCCCAATAGTATAACGATAGAGATTAAATATAGACTAGAAGGGTATATTTGTCCTTTTTTCCCCAAGAAACTATGACATCTAATGTTATACAGGTTAAAATATACCAAAAGGCCATATAAAATGGAATAGGTAGAATATTTTGGTATTCTCCCCACTAATATATGTCAGAAGAAATTTGTAAAAAATAATGTAGTGCAAATAAGAAAATTTAAGATCAATATCAAACGCGGAAGTCAGCGACTTAGTCCTCCAGATAAAGTAGGTTCAATTCATGCATTTGGGTCTCCACATTAATTTCCTCAATAAAATGGGCGGTTGCTTTTCTTGCCAAAGATGCCATGCCCATATGTGGAAGACATCAAAGCAACAAGGAGGGGAAATTGCAAAAGCACGAAGGAGACGATTGGTAAGCAAGCCAGTGTAGCCACAGATGCAAGCACAAATGCTTTCTTCTGCCCGAACACAATATACACGGTTGCACTGAAGCTAATCGTCATGAGTGTTATGGAGAGAAATAGAGTAAACAAACCCAGAATTAGACTCCTAGGCAAAGCATAAAGGAAATCTTCTTCTGCATAACGGGAAGTCAGAACGGATAAACACACCAACAGGGAGGTGCTAGAAGTGAATAGTGATGCTGCATTCGAGATGGAGAAAACAATGAAAGCAACGTTTCTGGCGAAAGTGGGGAGTCCACTTTCGCCGTCATTGCCACCTGGAACTGTAATTGCTGCAGCAAATGCGATGGTAGCAATGAGTGCAGCTGCAATTGTGCATGAATTTGCTGTATCTTTCATCCATTGTTCTCCTTTTATCTTCAACTCAGCATGTTCCGTAGTAAATACTACACTCGGAATTTTGCCCTCATTGTTGCAAATCTCCCAGTAAGAAGGCGGTACAAGCTTCTTTACTTCCTATACAAGATCGTTATGCAATGTTAATGAAGAGCTGCTGCAAAAAAAAGTTCTTTCTTTCTATTTAACAAAACGTATAAAATGAGTAGTTAGAATACTAGGGCCTAAAAAACGGTTAGAATATATATTAGTACTAGGGTAAAATGACAAAATTAAGAAAGTGTTTAAAAGAAGTTGATAATCCCAAATTGGCAAAAATAGTAAATTACTACTCAGCTAATATATACTTTAGCTGAACACAATATGAAAAAAAAAAAAATCCTTAATCACATATTGACAAATTCGAGAAGGATGCATGGGTGGCAAAGAAGTTATGATTACCTTGAACCATTGTAATTCTCGTTGCATCTGAAGAGCTGGGCCGGAAACAAGGTTTAGTTTATTTTGGGGCGCTAGTTTTCCAGCCAAATGCAGCATGGTATTGCGGGATGAGTCTGCTGAAATCATCAATTGGTGCCTATGTTGACTCATCTGATAAACCAAGTTAAACACATTTTCGCATCGATGCTCTATTGCAAGGTGGAATATATTCTTGTCATTTCGGTCTATAGAGTAAACTAGTGAAGGAAATTTTCTCACAATAATTTCAACAAGCTCATAGCTGCCATAGCGTGCTGCTTCAAGGAGAGGACGACTAACAATTGAATCAACTTCTTCGTGACTCAATCTTTCTATTTTTTCACATAGGCATTCTGCAAACTTAACTGCATTGTAATGTTTTGACTTTTTCTCTCGGACGTGTAGCAAAGGTGGCACTGCGATGCATGACCAGACGATGAGCAAAATTTCGAGGGACCCATTGCACAAGGAAATTAACAAATTTTAGCTAGGGGTACACAAAAATCATTAAAGGCATCCTACATTCTTTCAGCCAAATCCTTTCTACTGGTGTATTATTCGATTCGGTACGTTATCAGTGTTATAAATTCGTTTAACAGTTAATTAATTCCCTCTTTCTTTTTTTGGTGATAGCATTTTTATTTGAAAGATAAAATCTTTTTATGAAATAAGGCACAATAAATTTAAAAAGCTGAACAGCTAGGGATACAAGGATAGCAGGACAACTTACTGCATTTTTCAAGAACATCAAACAGAAGTGCACCCAACTTCTTGATCACTGTGACGCAAACCAAGTTATTAGTTAAACTCTGTCTATTGAAACACATGCAGATATACTTTTACTACTAGAAATTCGGTAAAAATCGACCACGAAAAATCGGCCAAAAAACCGACCAAAGTTGGTCGGTTTTTCAAAATATTTTATTTTTTAATTTTTTTTTACGAAACCGACCAACTTTGGTCTGTTTTCTTTGACGCAAAAATGCGGGAAACTATTTTTTGTCGTCAAGAAACCGACCAACTTTGGTCGGTTTTTTATTTCAAATAAATTAAAATTAATATTAAAAAACCGACCGAAATCGGTCGGTTAATTCGGCCGGTCATTTTAAAAAACCGACCGAATTTGGTCGGTAATTTTATTTTTTAATAAAACTTTCGTGTGAAAATACAATTAAAGAGTATAAATAAAATAAAAGATAGTCTTAAAACAAAATGCACAAATGGTCTAGTGGTAGAATAGTATCCTGCCACAGTATAAACCCCGGTTCGATTCCCAGATGGTGTATTTTTTAATTACATAATTAAAAAACCGATCAATATTTTTTTTCTTTTTTTGAATTTAATTGACCGACCAAAGTTGGTCGGTATTTCCGACCAACTTTGGTCGGTATGCCCTTCCGACCTTCAAAATACCGACCACATATTAATGATCGCGTTTTGGACGGTTATTGGCCATTACCGACCAACTTTGATCGGTTTTTTGGATTTTTTTCCCGAATTTCTAGCTGTGTTTTAGTATTTAGTAAATTCATTTTCTCCTCTTCCACCCTTGAGAATGTCTGACTTCAAAATTTGTCGTGGACATCTGTTGAAAAAAAAAATTGTATCCCTCGAAAATTGAAGATGGAAAGGCTCACCAGTTCGGAAATAAAGTCTTTCACAAAGTTTTGGCTTAAACATTTGTGGTTCATCGGTTACATTCTCAACGTCATTCGGTATTCTTTTATGACTCCTTGAAGTTGACCTGACAGGGACACCTAAAGAGAAAAGAAAAGGTAATTTTTTTTAATGGTAATTAATAATTAAACACGAGTTACTAGTATTCTCTCCTTTTCATATATATATATATATATATATATATATATATATATATATATGATGTTATTTGACTAGGCATATAATTTAAAGAACTTTTTTTGACATATATTAATGTTTTTTAAAATTTATGGTCCTACAAATATCATGACATTTCTATAATTATAAGAACATGTTATTTAAATTAAGATGAAAAGTTTAAAGTTAAAAAATTCAAATATAAAGAGATGTAATTGTTCCTGAAACAAACTAAAAAAATAATAGTCCCATATAAAATAGAAGGGATTGAGAGGTAAGTATTTTCAATTAAGGCAGAGGAGGTTAAACTCACAAGAGAAGAGTAATAGTTGCCAATAGTTTAAACGACTTCCACTAAGGAATGCAAATTCCTTCATGGCAAGCTCCTTCAAAGCAGATTTTTCATGTTCGTCATTTTTGGCCAAATCAGGGTGCTGTTTCACCAACTCAGTAGCGAAATCTGCCAATTATACTTGCTAAATATTACTAGTAATTAACTGAAATGAGATAAAACTGGTTGCAATAATTAACAATATTTGCGTGAAGTAGAATAATAATATATTTACGACTCACTTTCGGATATACTCCCTATATTTAAACTCGAACAGTACTTACACCCCCTATATTATGGAATTCTACACTTGCACCCCCTATGAGGTATATCCATCTGTTAAAATATAATTTAAAAGACAAATTAAAATCATAAATAAAAAGTTAGTTTAAATTTTTGATTTTAAAATACGTGAGGTGTATCCAGTGACGAAGCTATCCACGGGTATTCAAATTTGAAAGAAGTAAAAAAAAATCCCGACAAATGATGTTCAATATGTGTTATATACCTATAAAACATAATATTTTATTTATATATACACAATGCAACTTTTCATCGAAGGATGGTTATAACCATGTGGCTTCGCCAACGGGTGTATCCAAACTAATTCATGTTATAAGAGTGTTTAGTGCGGTTAATCCCGATATATTATTAAACATAGCAAATATCAAATAGCAAGCCATACACATGAGTTGGTCGCCGTCGCCACAATAAATTATCATTTCGGTGAAAATTGAAATCAATAAACATCAGTATGGACAAGCCATTTCTCCTTTAATGTGGTGAACATTTTCTCAGTGGTTTTATCAGACTATTTAAAAGTCCACATACAACAGATTATTATATACGGTGATGGGTCAATCACGAGGGAAAAAATTAATCCCTCGGTTTCAAAAGGTTTTCTTTGACTATATTTTTTGCAATTAATTTTTAAATATTTTGAATTATTAACTATTAGTACGTACTTGTATGTAATTTTTAAATATGTAAATTTTAAAAAACTTAAAAAATGTATATAAAATTCAAAAAAAATAGTCGATTTGACCCACCGAATTAAAATGTTCAAACAAGTTTGAGACGATCGAAGGGATTATAAGATATGTAAGAGATATCTAAGATATGCTTACCATACATGTCAGAATGGATTAATCTGCGGAGAAGCCTAATGCCGCTGGAGCCTGTATAAGGATCAAGGACTGTAGTGACACCCAAGAGATAAGCATAGATATCCACAGAATTGAAGCCATATTCAGCTGCATCGTGGATGCATCGTGGATTGGATAGAGATCACCCTCGCTGCCAATATTAGGCAAATTCTTATTTCGGCCGACTAGGATTTTAGCTGCGTCTAAGTTGCCAAATCTAGCAGCATAGTGAAGAGGAGTATCCCCGTTACAGTCTCCCATGTCTAACGGGTCGTCGGGCGCCATCGAATCCACCAACTTTTCGACGAAATGCTTAGCGTTATCATTCTTTGCGCCAACTGCGACGTGGAGTGCTGTCTGAAAGTCGCAGTTGAGCGGAGCTCTGCTTGCTTTGTTCTCTCCCATGAAGAATGCTTCTGCTTCCTCCCAACTTCCACTCAGTGAAGCTCTGTACAGTGGCAAATATCGGTTGTAATCTTCTATTTCTTCATAGCTATCTTCTGTAAAATAAAAAATCGTGATTATTTTATTTCATCCCTTCCAGGAAGAAAAGCTGACTTTCAACCAAAATGTCGAGCATCTTAATATACTACTCTATATTAACTTTTATTGGAAAACAAGCGACGATGATTAATTATCACTTTTGCAAGGTTTATGGCTGACGTCATTAAAAAATACTTTACTAGATAAGAAAGGTCAAGCCCATCAACTTAAAGGGGATATATATATATATATATATATATATATATATATATATATATATCTTGTTTCCAGATTGAGTAAAAAAGAATACATAATGCTCGTTTTCCTCTATGATTGATGATCGTTTCATGGCTCGTGAAGGACCCTTGATCGCTTAAAGTAAAGTATGATAATCTTTTTTCCTCCAAGCTCACCTTAAAAACTAAAATCTCCCTCTGATAAAATATATAGATGAAACTATATATTGCAGGCTCGTTGTTATCCATTATCAATCCCCTTTATGTATCTTTTTTAACAAAATTAATATATTGTACTATTTTTCGACTAATTAATTAACGCTTTATCTAGTAATTCAAATGATGATATGTCTTATTCCAAATTATGATTTCACAAGACAACTGAGTGGTGATTTTTAAACCCAACACCTATTTTACTCCCTAGAGTTGATTTTCAACATTTGCCTCGATGTTTAGTATATGATGTATTCTTTCCCTTTTTTAATCTATGTTATTGGATTTGCATATTGTTTACCCAAAAAATCGGATTACATTGAATTTATATATGGTTTTAAGGGTAAGTAGATTCCTTTGATCTGAAGATAACAATATACGTATTTGTGACGCAAAATAGAAAATGATAAACAAAGATACTTAGTGAGCTTTAGAAAGATAAACACAATCAATCCTTAATCCCATGGAAGATGTCTTCTATTACAATCTATCTTGCCTTTTATAGCCAAGGATCACTACTTTATCTATAGCAACATAATGGAATAATATTACTAGTGGAGGACCCATGATGGTGTGTCTCCTCCTTAATTTCCGCCAAGATTCTCTCATTTGGTGCGGTTGTAACAGCCTTTTGTCTGTGAGTTCGATACCGACTCGAGCTCGGTGTCGGATCAGAACCTCGGCCTTGGTTTCGAGCTTGGTGATCACTTTCGGGCATCGATGTTCGGGACCTGTATCGGTCGATGTTACCTCGGTCGATTCGGACGTCCCGAGCTTGACGCCCCCATCTCGAAATTTGTTCGGGTTCTTCATGAAGATACCCCTTGACTGAGATGCCATCCTCGATCGATCTTTATGATCGAGGATCAGTTTTAACCGTATACAGATAGCCCCCTCGTTTCTTGAAAAGGAGATGACGAGAAACGATGTGATTTCCCTAAGGTTCGACCGAACCAATAATGGCATTTCTATCGACTTTGACTATGACATGCGTGATAGCTGTCCCATCGATTTTGTTTTATCGAGGCATTTAATGTGTGTCAGTCGGTGGTCGGCCATCGCTAGAAACGAATCGCCATGCCTTATAAATAGTTTTTCCATATAATGTTTTCCACTTTTGTGCTTCCTCTTTTCCCAAATTCCCTTTGATTATTTTCTCCAATTCGTTGCTTTAGTGTCGCTTGTACCAGAGTTTTGGTGTTGTCCCCTCTTTCACCTTCCTTTGCGACTTTTTCTTCTCATATTGATGGCGAAAACTTCAAAAATCGTACCTCACAAGGAGAAAGCTTCCTCCTCACGGCCGTGTGACGATAAGGCACCGACGGAGCCATCCGTTCAAGATTATATTCCCGGCTCGTGTAATTTAAAAATTGATTTTAGGGTGGAGAACCCTTCGTCCGTTCCTAGTCAGTGTGAGCACGTATCGATGTATACGTGCTCTATAGCAGAGGTTCACCTCGAGGCCGTCAGAAAAGACTGCGGCTGGGGTTCTGAGGTTGTGTTACAAATCCCATCCTCCGATGAGAGCGTCACTACCTATGTGGAGGGATTTTTAAGTGTTTACACCTATCCATTTACGTTGGGAGCTGTCTATCCCGTGATCTTTGATTTCTGCAGGAGATATCAGGTCACCCTCGGCCAAATTCATCCTTCCTTATGGCGTATAGTCATCCTATTGCATTTCTTCTCTATCAAAGCCGGAGGGTTGGATTTTTCTCTGAACCACCTTATACGACTGTATCGGCCTCAGATTTATCGTGGACTAATTAGGCTACATCGTCGAGCGTCGAAGGCTTTGATGTCGAGCATCGATGAATATAAGGATCGAGGTTGGATGGGTCGATATATTCGAGTGAGGACTCATGATCTTATCCCGGAGGAAAAGATGTCGTTTCCTGAAAAATGGAATTTCGACCGTAAGTGATTCATGTTTGCTTTTCGTGTCTTTTTCCGTTTTTGTTAATATTATTTTCTGATGTCCAGCTGCACCTTGGATGCCACAAGCTGTGCCTGATCTCGAGGATTGGGTTCGAAAGTTAGCCTCGACTTCATCCTATGCCGAGCGCGCTTGGCGTGATTTGTCTAAAGGTATATGGGAGGCCAAGAATCATGGTGAGGTTTGGTTCCTGTTTCCCTCGAGGTATATTCTGCGTTCATTTCGTTATCGATTTTTCCTTTGTATATATGTGTAACTAGGGATGCCGTTTTGAGGCCTTTGAGCGGTGATGAAGGAAACAAGTCCCCGATCCTGGAACAGGGAAAAGAAAAGAAACGAAGGGCTTCCTCTCGGCCGGAGGACCCTAAGCCCAAAACTCGAAAGGTGAGGAGAAAAATCATTGCCCTTTTGATCGACTCGGTCCAATGACTGAGGGAGGAAGGAGAAGAAGAAGATAGCTCCTCGGATTTGGTAGTCCGACCTACGGAGGCATCGAGGTTGCTAGAGCTGCTAAGCCGATGGCGGCCGTGCCCATCGGGGTTGGTTCCGAAGACCTAAGTCTCGATCGGAGTACTCCGAGTGATTTGCTTAGGGCAATGGCAATGGGTCATTCACCTTCTCTTCCGTCTTTTTCTGAGGAGGCATTGAAGGAGGCTCGAGAGCTGAAGACTCCCGATATTGGTGCTAGCCCAGGTGCAGCGGATCCTTTTAAGGATTATTTTACTGGTGTTGATGACAGTTCCGATATCGGTGATGCTTCTCTTTTGTTAGAGGAAGCTCAGCATTTTATTACTTGGGTAATGATTCTTCCATACTTGGCTTCTTTGTTCTTTTCCATACTTGACAGTTCCGATATCGGTGATCCTTCTTTGTTTTATTGGTGTTGATGACAGTTTCTAACTATGCAGGCCATCGGTAGGTTTCGAGTTGATCTTAGCCAGTGTGAGGCTGAACTCCGGAAGGTCCTAGGTGAAAGAGATGACCTTCGGCTTCATTGTAGCAAAAAGGAGGAGGCTATAAAAGATCTTCAAGCGGATTTGGCTAAGGTTCGTGAAGAAAGGGTCGAGCTCGATTAGCAGGTGAGCCTCATTCTATTAAAATATGGATTTGACTCGACTATGGAAGTTAACCCTCCGTTGTCCCAATTGCAGCAAAAGATCGAGAAGATTGGGCTACTTCGAGAGGAGGTCGATCAAATCCGGCCCGAATGCAATCAGTGGAAGGAGACTATTGACCGCCTGGCAACGGAGAAAGAAACCATCTTAACAAAGTTATTATCAGCCGACGTTTAGCTTCGAAACGTCAAGCAAACGGTGTCAGTTCAGGCTAAGAAAATCGATGAGCTTGAGATACGCCTTGCTGAGGCTAAGGCGGAGGTTGAGTCGTTGAAAGTTTTGGTGGATAAGTCTATTACTGTATATCGAGCTAATGCTGAGGCCGCTCAGGTGGAGGCCTGGGAAGCGGCGAAGATTGCCGATGCTCGAGCTCATTGGGTTGCCGAACTTGTTAAGTGTAGATCTCGGAGGGAGACCCTCGAGGAGATACATGCTCGAAGTTTCGACCTTGCCGAAGAGGTAGGAAAGGCAAAAGAGCTTGAAGCGGAAGCTGAAGCCTTGGCTTCTGATGATGATGACGATGATAATGATGATGGTAGCAAAAGCGGGTCCGAGGGTGGGGAAGACCCCGACCCGGAAACTTAGAGTCTAATTCTCCATATCTGTAAATTAATTACGTAGGCAATTTTGTATATATATAATAAGGTCGATTTTGATCGATCAGATTTGGAGTGACGTTTTGGTTGTTGAGTTGATGATATTGTGGTGGTTAACGTAAACCCTGAGTAAACGAAGCTTTTTCAATATTTCAAACTCGATTGGGTTCTTGTTCGAACTCGGCAGCCCGTAGGCTTTAACATTTGAGTGTTTATTTCGAACTCGATATAGAAGTAGCCCGTGGGCTTAATATTCGAGTGTTTATTTCGAACTCGAGATAATGTGGTAGCCCGTAGGCTTAATATTCGAGTGATTATTTCGAACTCGAGATAATGTGGAAGCCCGTAGGCATAATATTCTAGTGATTATTTCGAACTCGATGTTGAAGTAGCCCGTAGGCTCAACGATCGACTGAGTATTTCGAACTTGATATAGAAGTAGCCCGTAGGCTTAATATTCGAGTGTTTATTTCAAACTCGAGATAATGTGTTAACCCGTAGGCTTAATATTCTAGCGATTGTTAATTCTGGTTGCATAGTAAATCTCAAGTCATTGTACATATGCTTTGGGGCAATCTATATGAGCATGGTTCATTTTGACCATTTTGGCTCTTACAATTTTTCCTCTATTGTTGTGAAAAGACTTTGTTGCATCTGAGCTCGATGTATTTGAGGGCTTGGTGCCCCCCGGTATTCGAGGCCGTTCGGGCTAAGGGTCGAAAGCCTCGGATTTAAAAGCGCAACACGATCAATGGTTGTCTCATTAAAAACCTTGCCGCAAAAACCCATTTGGAAAAAAAACGGTCTAAGAAAAAAAGAGTGCAACACGTGCTTTTGAGTAAAAGAATACTTCTATTCTTTGTTCGAACTTTTGTACGGGACAGTTGAATAAATATGGGAAAGGTCGGACCTTAAGAGTAGTACCATTT